CGAAAGGAAAGCGCAAATAAACGGCTCAAACGGTACCGTAATACCGTGAACAATCTTATTTCACCGAATACCGTCAGCCAAAATGATGAAAAACCGCATACCGCAGAGCTAGATGATACCGCAATACCGCACGTTAAAATCAAAATTACCGAAATACCGCATGAAAAAAAGCCCAATACCGAATACCGTAAACCCCCATGTCCCCCTCAGACAAGGATAAGCAAATTGAATGTTTACACGCGAAACACCTTTATCTCGAGTCGCACAGCAGGAGAGAAAATCTGAAATTTTTGGACACGGCCGGAAAGCGAAGCCAGCGCCTCGGAGGGGAAAGGTGCTGCTGGCACGATTGATTTTTTTTGTGATTTTCTTCCTGGTTTCCTTGGCTTTGGGGATCCAAAGAGGAATATGGAGTTTCAACGAGTGCATCGGATCGGTAAATCCGTACTTGGAAAGAGTAGACCGATACTGACCCGTTTTTACACTATCAAGATCGCGAGACAGTGCTGCGCGCTAGGTTTGAATTGAAAGATACTGAGTATATGATTTTGCAAGACTCCCCTCAGGAAATCATAGAGAGAAGGCGCTCAAACGTCTTCGGGAACATCTGCGGACATTTAATTTTTGGCAACGTTCGGAAGTCTTCGGAAATTCGTCGAAAATCTTCGGAAGTCACTTAAAATTTTGGCCATTTGTCAGTTGTCAGTTAACCCCATCCAGAACCTTCTTTATGGCTAGAAACAAATGCCCAAATTAAAGGAAGCTAAAAAGGGGGCCATCCTATTGATGCCAAGTTCATTTCTTCATAGAGGTTATATTAACTGTGACTTTTATTTGTTATAGCAGTAAGACTGTAATGTGTTTTCGATTGGTTATTGTAAAATATATACAACTAAGCAACAAAAGCTCTCTGGAAGAAATGTTGACACTTTTAGCGTGCTTTGATATGATTTCGTTAGAATACAAAAAAGGACACAAGGTCATCATGTGTTAAAAACAATTTGTCAGGATTTGTGAGTCAGCCGTGAGAAATTGTCCTTGATGCGTGATATCGATGTCTTTAGTCCACAGGCGTAGGACTCACGCATAATGCGTATACAATATAATAATAATAATAATAATAATAATAATAATAATAATAATAATAATAATAATAATAATAATAATAATGATAAAATAATAGACAATTTTATTAAAAAACGGTTAAAATCCTATTTACAATTAATTCGCTTAAAAAAAAAGAAAAAACTATTCATTCAAAAACACTATTTACAATTTCTGTCGATTTAAAAAGCACTTAATTTAGCTTAAAAAAAAAGTTAATTAAAACTAAGAAAAATTTTTTTAATAATAATGATAATAATAATAATAATAATAATAATAATAATAATAATAGTCTTTATTAAAAACCAATAATGCATCAACCGTGCCTTATTTACAATGAATATAAAATATGAAACAAATTAAGATAAAAAATACAACTAGCTACTAATGGCAGACAATGCTAAAAAGACATCTGTTTACAAAAGTGGATTTAAAACGTGAAGTACGAACTCTAGGTAATATGTAATCATGGCCCCTGCTGCGTAAATGCCTAGTACGTCTCGGCGGTAAGAGATCATCAAGTGCAGTAGTATTTGATGTGATCTTGTTCCATAATTTGCTGTCTCTGGTGGTTAAAATATCACAAATACTATATTTCTTCAAAGAGTATCCAGACTTAAAAGCCCTAGCAAAGAGTTTGTCAATTCTCTTTAGATATTTATCGTAATAACAGCAACCCCACACCTCAATAGCATANGCAACTTGAGCTTGGTTTTACGCTCCACAATAGCAAGAGGAGCTGGTGGAACTTTCAGGCTACTACTTTTTAGTAACATTTCCCATGTTTTATTCAAATTGAGTGTCATTTGATTCTTTTCAGCCCACTCCATTATTGAATTGACTTCAGACTCGGCTATGTTGCTATCTTCAGCGCGAACAGGGATGCTGACTGTGATATCATCCGCAAATAACAATATTCTGAAGGGATAAATTTTGATTGGCTTAATGGCTGGCAATATTAGACACTGGCCAGCCAAAACTTTCGAGTGGAAGGGAGTAACACGAGACTTGAAGAAAAGGAGAGCCAATTGAAATGCTTACAACATGTACAATAGCAAAACTGATAAAAATTAAGGTACTATGGCATCAGTTTTCGAATTGAATGTTTAGTTAACATTATATGTGCCGTTTAAGCCAAATTTCGCGTCAAAAATATACCAATAAGTTTCAAAGTTAATCATTAATAACAATTTAACTGACAACTGACAAAAAGCCTAAAATTTAACTGACAATTGGCAAATGGCCGAAATTTTAACTGACAACTGACATTTGTACCCCCCATCCAGACCCTCATAAAAACTTCATTCCAAAATATCTTGATAACGCTCTAACAGATTTCGCTTAAACTTGACAAACATCGAGGCTGCTATTGTGGGAAACAACTACCGTGAACGATTTTGGAAGAACAGTTCTCAGTGCCGAGATATATTGCTGCAAGTAAAATAGTAGCCTGTTCCAGGCGTTCAAATAGTGGGGAGCGGTGCGAAGTAAAAAGGAGCGCGAAAAAATAAAAGCGAGGGAGGAGGAGAGGTCCCAGTCCCCCTCTACTTTTCATCGCTTTCTTTACTTCGCACTGCTCTCCACTATCTGAACGCTTGGAACAGGCTAGTAAAATAGGTTATAGCGTCATTTCGTTGCTATGACAACTCCGATGTAGTTGCAACCCTGATAATAATCAATTTTCATCTTTATCTAATACAACTGTGCTGGCAATTTTTCCAAATCTTTGTTTCAATTCGTACTAAATAAATGACTCCGACTACTGCGAACTTTTAACCACTGAATATTTGAATTGGTGAGAGGAATTTAAAGAGGTTCAGGATAAGCGTGTTTTATGGGATTTAATAGAGAGGAGAAGTCGTTACGCCATGCTGTCCTGGATAGGAAAATTTTGGATGACAGCAAACCGAAAATTCACTTAAAAAGTAAATTCGCACTCGGCTGTTTCAAACTTCATCGATCTTATTCAATTTCATTTAATTTGTCAAATGTTGGCGAAATTTTCTGGATTAAATCCGAAAGGATAGTATCTAAGTTTAGAAAAAGAAAAAGAAACTTCTTGTGTTGTGCTCACCTACTGCATAAAGCGGGCGCGTGAAATTAGGAAGTTTCATGGCCACTCGTGCAACGAGTAAGAAATGTACAGAAAAGCGTGATGCAAACGCACGTGGAAAGTTGATTTTTTGCCAATTTAAACCTATTTTTTTTTCTTTTTTTGCTGTTCGCCGTCGCCGTTGCAAAAATTTTGGTACCATGGTAACGTGACTTCACACTTCTCTCTATTAAATACAAAATAATACGGCGAACAATTACAAACAGTAAAGGTAGAGCCCGTGAAAGAAGAGCGAAACTACAGAAGGTGAAAGATAAGCTGAAGGAATGTACAGAAAAATGTGATATCGATCCAAATAGTGGAAATCTTGAGGAACTGGTGCGAAGTGTCTTCAAACAGATTATGATCGATTGTACGATTACATTACATAAGGGGCAATCATTCGCTCTAGGGCAACCTGGTATGAAATAGGTGAAAAAAACAACAAATAGTTTTTGAATTTAGAAAATTCAAATAAAACGAAAAGCAGTGTGTGCAAAATCTTAACAAGGGGTGGAGCGTTAAAGTAGCGACCCAAAAAAGATTATGAATGAGTTGGAATTATATTATTCTAATCTCTTTGGTGGTAGAAATTGTGCAGACAGGAAGATTATTTTCTCGTTTATAAATGATCTCACCGATGTTCCATATTTAGCGAAGGAGAAGAGGAACGTTTGCGAGAGTATCCTTGGATATATATATATGATGAATGCTACAATGTATTGCAGACCTTCCAAAAAAAATAAATCGCCTGGGAACAATGGTTTAACGGTAGAGTTTTACTTAGCCTTTTGGCCCGTGTTTGGAAAGTTGGTAGTTGATAGTCTGAGCCACGCTTTCGAATACGGCGGACTATCAAACTCACAGAAAAAGGCTGTTATTACCATAATTGAAAGGAAAAGAAAAGACAAACTGTGGTATAGAATTGGCGTGCAATATCTCTTATAAATGTTGACGTTGAATTGGCGTCTAAAACTTTGACAAACGCGCGCGCGTTTGTCAAGGGCAGAACAATTTTTGATGCCGTCAGAACGATCGATGATATGATTGAACATGCAAAGTACAAAGATATTCCTGGGATTTTAGTAGCTATAGACTTCGAAAAAGCTTTCGACTCTCTCAATTTTAATTTTCTCTGAAGAGTATTACAGGCTTTGCTCCTTCTTTCATATCATTCTTATAGAAACAACGCAACTAGCTGTATAATGAACAACGGTTTTACAACAGGACCTTTTGCACTAAGTAGGGGAGTAAGGCAAGGAGATCCCCTCTCTCCCTACCTTTTTATTATAGCTCTGGAGACCTTAGCTATAAAGGTAAGAGACGATGATACCATTAAGGGCATCACGATACGAGACGAACCTGTTAAACTTTCCCTTTTCTCTGATGATATGACCTGCCTTATCAAAGATAGCAGTTCGTATATAAACCTATTCGTTTATATAAACTCAATAAATAATTAAAAAAACTGAAGCCTTAGCTTTAGGAAATAGTAGATCTCTTTGGAGGGAATTCTGGTTTGCCAAATCTTTGCAACACTATCAAAATTGTAGGCGTTTACTTTGGCTATAGAGATTGAATTTTAGAATACTTTTGAAATCAATTAAGGAGACGATCATATCTGTGCCGGAAATGGCGTGGTCTTTCTCTCTGAGGTAGAATACAAACTATAAAAACTTTTGCCATCCCCAAGCTTATGTTTAGAGCGTCGGTGTTGCCAATTTCTAAAGACCTTATCAAAGAAGCCGACTCCCTTTTTTACTATTTTATCTGGAATGATGAAGACAAAGTAGAACGAAGTGTGATGATATCGGAAGTTCAGAAGGGTGGCTTAAATATGCCCGGTATTGATTCAGATCTATGGTTCGCACAGGACCGGTGATATGTCTAAAAAAATATTTGGAAGACTATAAAAAAGTCCGTGGGAAGTATTTTTAAACGAGCTTAGTATCCCTGTTGGTGGGAAGCTCATAATGCATTGTAACTTTGATACCTCTAAATTAAGTATTTATCTACCAAGTTTCTACAAGCAACGGTTTCGATGCGTGGTCAGAAGTAAATGCAACAACGCCCAGCTCGCTACACGAAATTGCAAATGAAGTTATTTGGAATAACAAGCTTCTCTACTATACATTAATAAGAAAACTGTGTACCGTAGAGATGCTGCAGATCTAGGGTTTCAATTGAAAAAATTCTCAATCCTGAGCAAGGTTTCTTCATTATGGGTAATCTATTAATATATAGATTTAGCCAGGGCTAAAAGCGAAGCTCTCAGAAATTTTTATAGTTTGCTCAAACAAAATATAAAATCGTGTAATGCTAAGCGGCGAAGGCAACGAGAACTTTGAAAAAACAACAATAGGTATAATGGTCAACAAGTCTTTGAACGTACAGCACACTTTTTTTGTCCATTTCTTTGCCGTTGTTTTGCACGACTGCAACGTGAAACTTACGGAAATTTCCAAGTTGCACGTTTTATGGAGGAAATGTCGGAAGTGTTCTTGTTCACTTTTTTTTTCTCTGTAACTAATTTTCACCATGGTGGCCGCTAGCATCCCGCCGCTACAAAATTTCATGTTATTCCTCCAACAATAAATGTCTCCTTTTGTTTTTTGTCTCTCGCTCTAGCTCCTCTTCTCGTTGACTGAGTTTCGCTGGCCTGTCGCTCTACTTTCTCTTTTTCTCTGTCTTTCTCTCTCTCTACATTTCAATTTTGTGGACATGACAATTAATCTAGGCTTAACACTTTAGACAACACGGATATAGAAACATTTTCCGCTTTCCGTTTTCGTCTTTGTTGGCTCTTTAGTTGTGTCTGCTTGACAAGAAGCAGGTGGCCATACGCTTTCCCGCCAAAATAACCTGACATTTGGCATCGGCTTACACGCGGTGGGTGTACGGACGGTCGTTCGGGCGTACGCTGCGTCATAACCCAATTTTCTTGTCAACTTATCTCAACAATGGGGCTCCGCCGCTCGCGCTTCGCGCAAAGGAGCTCCGCTATTAACTCTACGCCTGCCAGTTGACGATTGACAATTAAAAGGGAAACTACTACACCCGTGATGGATCCACTTCCGGATTCACTGCAGCTATTCTAATAAGTAACAATTTGCATTACAAGCCGCAGGCTCGATTTTCGGGGGATTGCGACGTTCAACGTCGCAATCTTCGCATATTTCTGAAGGGCGAGGCGCCAAGTCTATTGTTTTGAACCAAGGGTTATATTACATCAAGAGACCCTGAGCCTATCTTAAAGCTGTCAACAAGGTTCGTTTTATTGAGCAATCTTTCATCTTCGACACTTAATCCAGTTTATCTTAAGTGGACACCCAACGTAGTTGCTATTCACGTGCACTGTCGAAAGCATAATATCAAATAGACTTCAAAAATTCTGCATTGGAGCTTCACTCTTCGTCTTTAATTTTAGCCGACCCACTCAATAAACAATAAATAAGAACAATATTACCGAAAAATAATTACAACTGAGAACTTGATGAATAAACAATGAAAACAACAACTCAATAATCTCTCAGGGAGATCACCCGCCAAAGCGGATACCCGCGAGGTTTGTTCGGTTTCAACATAGACGGAGGAAATTTTTACATCGCTAGTATAAATCTGGCCTAACTGTCACATTTGATCGAAGAGAGATATTTACGCAAAAAAAAACTATCACAGTTCACAAATGATTTAGACATTATCTTAATAGAAATTAAAGTATTGCCGCCCGCGGACAAAACTAGCTTTTTTTCGGTTTCCGGTGTACATCAAACACAGGCATCACGCTGAATATTATCCAGACTGAGAGCCGTAGATCAGAAAAAAAATCACAGTTACTAAATTTCACTTTTGAAACCAACACCACTTGTCGTAAGATTGGGCGCATCGCATAAGAGCTAAAGACTTAAGAGGGAGAGAAAATAAAAATCTACTGAATTATATACACTAACGATATGTACAAAAACAACAACTCTGTAACGACTAGCTAAAACACGATCGATTCAAGATGTGACTTACTTTATACTTTATCACAGCTTCTTAAGAATGGGCGCGCCGCCTGTAAGCCATTAGGAAGAGGAGAGGAAAATCTACCGAATTATACAAACTAAAGCAATGTAAAGAAGCTGCATTTACTAGCTAAAACACGAGCGATTTTAGCTATGTACTATTCACTTTAAGAAAATCTCCCTTCACCTCTTAAACTTGGGCGCGCCGCCTGTAAGCCAAAAGGGAGAGGAGAGAATAATCTACTGATTTACCAAACTAACACAGCGTATAAAAACTGTAATTGGCTAGGTAGTAAAACATGATCGACTCAAACTACGAATGTTTCAATTTAAAAAAATCTCTCTTCACCTCTTAAACTTAGGCGCGCCGCCTGTAAGCTAAGAGGGAGAGGAGAGAAAGAATTACTGAATTATCCAAACTAACAACGCATGAAAACTGCAATTGGCTAGGTAGCTAAAACATGACGATTCAATCTACGAGTTTTTTACCTTAAAAAATCTCTCTTCACCTCTTAAACTTGGGCGTGCCGCCTGTAAGCCAAGAGGGAGAGGAGAGAATAATCCACTGAAGTATCCAAACTAACATAGCTCATGAAAACTGCAATTGGCTAGGTAGTAAAACATGATCGATTCAAGCTACGAGTTTTTTACCCTTGGAAAAAATATCTCTTCACCTCTTAAACTTGGGCGCGCCGCCTGTAAGGTAAGAGGGGGAGGAGAGAAAAATTTACTGAATTATCTAAACTAACATAGCGCATGAAAACTGCATTTGGCTGGGTAGCTAAAACATGACGATTCAATCTACGAGTTTTTTACCTTAAAAAATCTCTCTTCACCTCTTAAACTTGGGCGCACCGCCTGTAAGGTAAGAGGGAGAGGAGAGAAAAATTTATTGAATTATCCAAACTAACATAGCTCATGAAAACTGCAATTGGCTAGATAGTAAAACATGATCGATTCAAGCTACGAGTTTTTTACCCTTGGAAAAAATCTCTCTTCACCTCTTAAACTTGGGCGCGCCGCCTGTAAGCCAAGAGGGAGAGGAGAGAATAATCCACTGAAGTATCCAAACTGACATAGCTCATGAAAACTGCAATTGGCTAGGTAGTAAAACATGATCGATTCAAGCTACAAGTTTTTTACCCTTGAAAAAAATCTCTCTTCACCTCTTAAACTTGGGCGCGCCGCCTGTAAGCTAAGAGGAAGAGGAGAGAATAACCTACTGAATTATCCGAACTAACACAACGTATAAAAACTGCAATAGGCTAGCTAGTAAAACATGATCGACTCAAGCTACGAGTGTTTCAATTTAAATAAATCTCTCTTCACCTCTTAAACTTGGGCGTGCCGCCTGGAAGCCAAAAGGGAGAGGAGAGAGTAACCAAACTAACACAGCGTAAGAAAACTGCAATTGGCTAGCTAGTAAAACATGGTCTATTTAGGCTACGAGCTTTTTTGCCCTTGAAAAAAATCTCTCTTCACCTCTTAAACTTGGGCGCGCCGCCTGTAAGCTAAGAGGGAGAGGAGAGAATAACCTACGGAATTATCCGAACTAACACAGCGTATAAAAACTGCAATAGGCTAGCTAGTAAAACATGATCGACTAAAGCTACGAGTGTTTCAATTTAAATAAATCTCTCTTCACCTCTTAAACTTGGGCGTGCCGCCTGTAAGCTAAGAGGGAGAGGAGAGAATAACCTACTGAATTATCCGAACTAACATAGCTCACGAAAACTGCAATTGGCTAGATAGTAAAACATGATCGATTCAAGCTACGAGTTTTTTTACCCTTGAAAAAAAAATTTCTCTTCACCTCTTAAACTTGGGCGCGCCGCCTGTAAGCTAAGAGGGAGAGGAGAGAATAACCTACTGAATTATCCGAACTAACACAGCGTATAAAAACTGCAATAGGCTAGCTAGTAAAACATGATCGACTAAAGCTACGAGTGTTTCAATTTAAATAAATCTCTCTTCACCTCTTAAACTTGGGCGTGCCGCCTGTAAGCTAAGAGGGAGAGGAGAGAATAACCTACTGAATTATCCGAACTAACATAGCTCACGAAAACTGCAATTGGCTAGATAGTAAAACATGATCGATTCAAGCTACGAGTTTTTTTACCCTTGAAAAAAAAATTTCTCTTCACCTCTTAAACTTGGGCGCGCCGCCTGTAAGCTAAGAGGGAGAGGAGAGAATAACCTACTGAATTATCCGAACTAACACAGCGTATAAAAACTGCAATAGGCTAGCTAGTAAAACATGATCGACTAAAGCTACGAGTGTTTCAATTTAAATAAATCTCTCTTCACCTCTTAAACTTGGGCGTGCCGCCTGTAAGCTAAGAGGGAGAGGAGAGAATAACCTACTGAATTATCCGAACTAACATAGCTCACGAAAACTGCAATTGGCTAGATAGTAAAACATGATCGATTCAAGCTACGAGTTTTTTTACCCTTGAAAAAAAAATTTCTCTTCACCTCTTAAACTTGGGCGCGCCGCCTGTAAGCTAAGAGGGAGAGGAGAGAATAACCTACTGAATTATCCGAACTAACACAGCATATGAAAATTGCAATTGGCTAGCTAAAACACGATCGATTTAAGGATCCGAGTTCTTTTTTCTTAAAAAATCTCTCTTCACAAAATGCGTTCCTATAATCCATTCCTCGAAATTTGGATCTGTAAATCACTTTCGGTGAAAATACTAAACTAGCTGCGCCCAGCGTGACATAAATTGAAGGATACCATCACATTCACGGACAAAAGAATATCGCCTTTAGCTATTCAGATCCAGGAGGCACTTTGGAGAAGACTAAACAACCTAAAACTCTTATTTAGCAGTAAAGGAAGAGATTTACGTTTCAAAAGAGGTCGAAGAAAGTGCTCTTGCATCAGAGGACAAATCATGCCGACCAGAAACAATAACCGCAGAAAATCAATATGCGTGTCATGACCTCTCAGTATGAAACAAGCGGCAAAATTCACATTTACTCATTCAAAGAGTAGAACCCAGAATATAATATACCCACCAGAGAAAACAATTTTTGGAACAAGCAGCATTTTGGCACGAGGTAAAAGTCGTGTGTTGCCTACCAGCCCCTTTTTTACACTCTGTTAGATGGTTCGAGCATTTTGGCGGGATCACGGCTCTTTTGGCGCGTGTTGTAAATGCCCTTTGAATTATAATATTTGTGCGTTATTGTATAGTGATCGAGGATGTACACAATACCAAAGGCAAGTAAATATTTTCCTCAGTTTTCCTCAGTGTCGTCAAACCGGCTTCACCGATGTGCTCGAACTCCGCATGCGAGAGCCATAACAAGCTGCTCCTCTACCTTTTAAATAATAAAGGTCTCTCTTACCTTATATCGGCGAACACAGTTTCTGTCCTTCGGACATAATGCGAAATAACATCCAGAACTCTTCACGTTGAACTTTTGAAACCATTTCGGCGACAATATGTAACTTACCAGGTAACGTACCGAATAATTATTACTTTGGAGGGTTCGAATTCGACCTTCATAAAGCGCTAGATTTTGCCTTTCGCTTAAGAAACGAAAAAAATATTTCTTTTTTTTCCAAGACTTGCACCAAGACCCTTTTTTAACACCAACCATGAATTCAAGTATTTTCATTAAGTGATTTTGACGAGAACCATAGCTGAGTTAAAATATCTCGCTCCGATGGTATAAATTCGGCGCGCAGAAGACAAGCTCTGATATTTGACGCAAATTTGTGTCCTGTCCTAAAATGAGTTTATTGACAGATGAACTGACAGAAAGCGATTAATGTGCACACCTGAGGTGCGCAAGGAAATGTGTCAAGACTAACGCCTTGTAGTTACTTGAGTCCAGTTTGTGGGTATCTCCATGGAAATTAAGGATCCCTGGTGCGTGCACGAAAATCGACCTTGCGGCTCGTAATGTTCCAGTTCTTGCTACTTCCTCAAAAACAAATCTACCGGCTTTTCCTGGCGAAAAAACAAACAACGTCTACTGCTGAAAGTAAAGTTAGCTACAAAGTATCCCAACAGGGATATTGATTGGAAAAGTGTTTATTCGCTATCTTTTCGCACGACATTAGAATCGAAACTTAGAGAATTTCAGTTTAAAATATTAATTTGCCGACCTGTGCTTTCTGCCAAACAGAGCTGGAATCCATAGAACATTTACTCTTTCCTGTAAATTATCGTCTAATTTTAAGAAACATGCCTTGTCCTGGCTGCGCGGTTATAACATCTTTGTTGATAACCTTAAAGACGATGATGTCATTTTTGATAAGTTCGATGTTGCAGAGGACACCCTGTTTAACCAAATTTTGCTTCTGGGTAAGTTTTATATTTACTCTCGGAATACCAGAATGGTATACCTTCTCTTCAGGATTTCATTGCCAGGACAAGGTGTATTTATAACATCGAACTCCATATTGCCAGGAAAAGAGACAAATTAAACAATCATCTTAAAAATTGGAAAAAGTTAATTAGCGTTTTTTTTAGAATAAGTGATGTCACGAGTAATTTTCAGCTTAAGTTTAAACTTAAAAGTGAAGTCATTGTAATTTACATACTAGGTAACTGTATTGTTGTAATAGCTTCGTGTGTGTTTATCTTTGTATTTGTCTATTTGTACTATATAAGCGTGTTTTTTTTGCGTGTGTCTTTTTTTCCTTTTTGCTTCTTTTTTCTTAATTTCCATTAACTCGGGTAAGGTATTCTTTAAATGAAAAAACTCTCTTTTTAACTCTTGCCACTCAGTGCTCGATATTTCCTGAACTAAGAGCGAAACCGATGAAATTCTCCTGCTGAGCATTATTGATAAAGTAATCTCTTTCAGCCCTCCTTTATTTATTTCTGCCAGATAATGCTGTTTCTGAAGATCCGTTTACTAGTTACCTGTTGTGGCCGCATCTTCACTTCAGTGGTACATTTCGCGCTGATGTTTCTACCGTAAACAATAACCCACTCAACTTCGACACGGACAGATTCACTGCCGCGGATCTCATACGAGATTTGGAGAATTGGAACCCGAAGGGTAGTGGCGAGTGGAGCGTGACTGGCTCGGTAACTCAAGTATGCTATGCTGATGGCCACTGCGTAGAAGAAGATGAGGGCCACAAAAGTTCTGAACCACTCATAGGAGCATGGATAGTGGGTAATAACTGTTAGCATTATAGTACTGATAGTCAATTACCCCTTCTGGAATCAAAATCGTGTTCTGGCCAAATAGGCCAAAATTTTCACAAAAAAACAATAGAATAAATAAATTTGCTCACTCGACTTTATTATTATTATTTTTTCTCAGATGGAGGCAACAAAACGCTTGCAAAATTGGTCGACTTCGATCCCGAGGCGGGTTTCTCGGAAATTTGGGGATGGAGAATTAGCGTTGGAAACCTGTTTTCTGCTGATTATACGCCAGTTCCGTATCAATATCTCTGGAAAAAAATGGTCACTAAACGAAACGACGATTATACCCACGGAGCAGCGTATCAATCAGTTTTGTCGAATATTCGATGGCACACTTCAAACGACTCGCGTTTCATCAGAGAGCTTCAGAATTCAATGGACAATAATAACATTATTGACGGCAAGAGACTATCCATACGCTTCAATATGGATATGTACCAGGAAGATTACCGGAAAGACAATCTTACCATAGGACGCATTACGGATAAGGTATCTAAGTGAAAATCTAGAGACATTCCTAAAAATATTCAAATATTCATATTGTAAATAAGGAAAGCAAACTATGTGCTCTATCGGGTGATATCTATTTATTTACCAGCTTTTCTGGACACAGTCCTGCCCAGAGGGAATGTGCACGAACGGAACTCAGGTCCCATGCGAGGTGCCATCCCTACCCAATCCCACAACCTGTAAAGGTTGGCCACACCACCGGGGTCTACGACCCCTACTCTTTTCGAATAGTGATGTGGGTTCTTTTACGTCCCACAAGAACAAATCAGTGAAATTGCTCTGAGACGGGACCTACGGTTTTTCGTCCTTATCCAAGAAGACTAGAAAGTCTAACCATTTGCAGATGTCATTACAAAGGCAGCACTCTCTTCTCAGTTATTTTTAAAGACCCTGAGTGTTGGTCCAGCCGGAGTTTGAACCCTCGACCTCCCGCTCGGCAGACCGGTGCTCTCCCAACTGAGCTAACCAGGCGGCGGTTTGCATATATTTGTATATATCAATGTTGATCTTTTAAATTTTTAAATCCACAAACCCACTGAGGAGTTTGTAAATACTATGAGTACAAGTGTTTTTGGGCCTCATATTGTGAAGCCAACTAGAGTAATACATCCCACTGCTCCTTTGATTCACAATATATTTTTTAATTCAATTGATTTTGATACTGTTAGTGGCAATGTAGTTTATGATCTCTCTGATCACCTACCCAATTTTTTAATTATCAACGGACGTCTATTTAATTATCAAAGGACAAAATCGTTGTACGAGACTTCTCTAGGTTGAACGACGACTCTGTTTTAAATGACTTTTCAGCTATTTAAGTTAAATTTACTCTTAACCCTAGATAAATAAGGGGGCTAAGGAAATCAACTGACAATAATAATATTCTGTACAGACACTTTATTAGAACTAGATCCTCATACAGAACTATTTAAAAGCTAACCAAAGTAATGTAAAAAATCTTTGGAAAGGTATAACGCAACTTGTATCACTTAAGAAAAAAGACTCCTTCAGGGCCAATAAACTTGTTAAGGATGATCAATAGATAACTGATCCCAAAAAAATAGCAAATGAATTTAATAATTATTTTGCAACCATTGGCTCAAGGTTAGCAGCTGAGATACCAAATTGTGGGACATGTACACACACAGTTTACCTTGATAATGCTCGCAGTTCGAGTTTTTTTTTCTCTCACCAGTAACTAACTTTGAAATTATAGATATTACAAATACTTTAAATTGCAAAAAGGCAAATGGACCCTTCAGTATCCCAGTAGTCCTTTTGAAAGTGTTAAAAAAAACTATATTATTTTCTTACCCTCTTGCAATAATTTTTAATTGCTCCTTGAAATCAGGTGTTGTTCCGGATCATTTTAAAGTGAAAAAGGTTATTTCAGTTTATAAAAAAGGCTCACCTCTTATGGCATCTACTTATCGTCCAGTCTCACTATTATCTATATTCAATAAGNCCAGTAACTAACTTTGAAATTATAGATATTACAAATACTTTAAATTGCAAAAAGGCAAATGGACCCTTCAGTATCCCAGTAGTCCTTTTGAAAGTGTTAAAAAAAACTATATTATTTTCTTACCCTCTTGCAATAATTTTTAATTGCTCCTTGAAATCAGGTGTTGTTCCGGATCATTTTAAAGTGAAAAAGGTTATTTCAGTTTATAAAAAAGGCTCACCTCTTATGGCATCTACTTATCGTCCAGTCTCACTATTATCTATATTCAATAAGATTCTTGAAAGACTAATGTATAATAGACTAATTAAATACTTTGAACAATCATCTATCTTCTTCACGATCAATCAACAATTTGGTTTTCGTTCCAATCATTCTGCAGTTCATGCTCTTATTCTTATGGTGTATAAAATCCAAAAACCCACCGACAGTAGGAATTATTCCCGTGGTATTTTGATTGGGCAATGTAAGGCCTTTGATACTGTTGACCATCACATCTTGCTTGACAAATTAGACTACTACGGTATCAGGGGCATTGCAAATGGTTTTCTTCCTATTCATCTAATAGGAGTCAATTTGTCTCTCTGGGCACTATATATACTGTGATGCAAAACAAATTCTACGTGCAGTGTCACAGGGCTCCATTCTAGGGCCTTTGCTGTTTTTGATATTATGTAAATGATCTCCATAAATTTTCCAGTGTACTTGATTTCCTCCTTTTTGCAGATGATACCAACATTTTTATACAGCATAAAAATTTACATTCCCTTGAGTTGAAATTAAATCAATATTCTAATCGTGATTCTCATTCGAGTCCGCTGTTTTCACAGCTGCTTTAATCAAGCTCATGGATCTTGTGACTATTCATACAGCCCTTCCATCAAAATCTACCACCTTATGCTTTTGACAACTTCTTTTCACTTATATCATCTAGCATGGTATAACACTAGGCTAGCATCAAAGTCAATTTATTATATTGATCATGTCAGAACTAATTACTGTAAATTTAATATACACTTCTCTCAATGGTCCTTCTGTTTTCAATAGTCTGGATGAAATTTATATAAAAAGCAGTTCTTTCAATCTATTGAGGCAAACCATGACGGTAGATATTTAGACGATAGGATAGATAGGTAGACGGTAGATGTATTTATCAACTTACCGTTGATGCTGGCCAGTATGGAATAACTTACCGTTATTAACGTAAACTTTATAATTCTCTGGTACCGTTCTTGTTTTTGTTTGTTTGTTTTGTTTTGTTTTTTCTTTTATGTTGTCCTATATATTGTATCGTAATTAAATTAATCAACTAATTTATTTTTTATTACTTTTTTCTCACTAAATTTATGGTATTTTTGTTCTCAATCTTTAGTGAGTTGCAACCCTATAAAATGTAATTTAACTATTGTAAGTGACTCAGCTCGTTTAGTTTTTTTGCAATTCTGAGTTGTTTTTTTTTGCCTGATGTATTTTAATTTATGCTGTTCTTGTAATTGTTTTAAGTTCGCAAAATATAATGGTTGGTTGTTGTGTGACGACTTCAACCGGGACACCTAAGGACTTTCAGTCAATCAGAAACCGCTCTTTTAACAAAAAAATTTGGGCGGGGAGACCTCATAGGGAACTGTCCCATTTTTCGATTGGTCATAGTTTCGAACCTAGATGTTTTTGCCGTCTAGAATGGTGTGTCGTATACACTTCTTCATTTGTGTGGCTGCTTTTTCTAAAATATAGAAGCTGTTTATAGATTGAACGGCTGGCTACACATATTGCTTGGTAAGGGATATAAAAGTGCCTTGTATCTTTGGGCGAAAAAAGCAGACTGGTTACAAGAAGTTCTTTGAAAATACGCACTGTTCTTAAACGGTTACACGTTGTCGATTACCCAGTATTATAGACACCTGGAACCCTTTTGCGGGCAAAGTGTGGCAAATTTCTACCGTTATCGTTAAGAACACAATTCTCAGCTGCACTGAATGATTTCGACTTCCACTTTCAAGAAGGCAAGGCACATAAACAGCTAAAAATTGAAATTTGATTATGAGAAAAGAGAAAATAAGATTCTTTGGTCTTTGATTGGCTTACGCTAGAAGTAAGCCATTCGAACCGGCGAAAAATTTAGGATCAAAACTAACCATTCGAAAAATAGAACAGTTTCCGATGAGGTCTTCACGCCCAATTCTTTGTTAAAGGAGCGGTCTCTGACCTTAAAGGAGCCGTCTCTGACCGGCTGAAAGTTCTTAGGTGGCCCCGGTTGAAGTCGTCACACTGTAAGACTTTTGCCAAGCTTCTTTTCCATTTTGTATAGACGTAAACTAAGGTCTCAGAAAGGTCTCCGATCCTTATAATTAATCCCGTTTTCTTCTGCTGGGGCTTTTGATATGTTATTAAGGATAGTTTTCAGAGTGTAAAACATTTGGAATGTCTTCTGTTGCAATTAGGTCTAGGTTACCTACTTTTTTTTCCACAAAATGACTGGACCACAAGGGCAGGAAAGCACTCTGTTATCTTCTCATGGTCGACATGTGATGGTCTTTATTTAAGACATCCCTTCTTTATTTAAGACTATCTTGGCGTCTCGCAAGCCGGCCATGCTCATTCTGCGGTTTTTGGTACAATCAGCCAAGATATCTACAAAATTCACTAGAATCTTTCCCTTCCCGACAGTTGATGACCGCAATATCATGCTGCTTGAGGGCATCCAAAGCGAAAAATTTTGTAAGATTCGCTCGGGCGCTGATGATAAAAAGCTCTGAACGCTGTTTTCAGCAACAAGTACTGTATCCGGCTGAACCACCCAATTCTGGCTGATCACGGGCTTTTTTACCCTGAGGCCCTTTACAATGACCTTGTTTTCGAGCTGACGCTTCCCCCCCCCCCCCCCCCCCCCCCCTCACACAGAGATCGACACACACAGAAAAACTTACTCCCAAAATACGACAATTATAGAACCCCTTATAAACACACTAAAGAAAAAGGAAAGCCATTGGGAGCAAGCCGAGAAAACGCGAGCCCATAAAGACACGTATGAATCTTGTAATGTAGTACATTCGTGCGGAGTTCTTCCGAAGAGTACAAGAAACTGATAGCTGAACTGAAAAAAAAAATTGTCCTATCTGACCTTTGCCCTGCACCATACCTACGGAATCAAAATGCAAAATTGAAAACTTCAAATTAAGGCCATGGCTGAACAAGATGCGCTCAACGAATTCATGCAAATGCTGGAGACCACTCCAGACAGCTCCAAACCCATTCTTGTTTCTCTTTCCCCTCCCAACAAGTTCCAGAAGAACGTGTGAAGCTGGCTGTTCTTGTTTCCAAGGGCAAACCGAACGAGGCACTTGTTTCCCAACTTACACATGAAACGATGAAACGCCTTTCAAACAGAGAGGTTAAAAAAAATTGCAAACGGTATGAGGCCTACGATGACAGGAAGACAACTGAGACTTTGCTTGCCAGCAAAGCCATTGGTATGGTTGTCAAAGTGGATGACGAAGAAGCTTTGCAAAAAGACCTGACCTGACCTGAAGATTTCGTTATTAACTCTCATTGTACTCTGTGGCTGGATATATGGTACTGCGCTGCACTGCCTGCTTGTGGTTTCCAACGCCGCTATGATTACGACAAAACACGCCGACTTTGAGCCTGAAAACGGACCTGAAAAAGAACCTGATAAAGAACTTCAAAAACTTTTCACAATGTTATATAAAACATGAAAGAGAAAGCTGACGCACTTACTGAAGTTCCAGGGAAAGTTATGTCAAAGGTTCCTACAACAAAACCTGCAAAAATCCTGGCCGAGTTGCGGCTGGAAACTATTTAGCTGAACAAAACCGCCTTGCACGTGAGGCAAAAAAATAAAAGAAAACACGACAGCAGCCCCCACAGAGCAAAAACAGACCCCCACTGCAGAAAGCGACAGCTGAAAAGTCAACGCCTAATAAATTCTTGGTATAGGAGGCCTGAGTGTTTCCGTTCAAGGGCGTTTATTATCAGCGAGAGGCGATTAAGGCCACACTCCAGGGAAGCCCAGCGCGATTTGCTTAGTCCCTGTACGACGTTTTCCCAGTCCCTCTCGGTCAATTCACTTTAGTGACGAATCCGAGGCGAACTGGCGGGAAACGCCTAGATAAAAACAGAATGCGAAAGGGTGTGTTGCTTTTTGAAATTCAGGATGTTGTAAACAGCAGGAAATTATGGTTTAAAAAAGAACCTTGTGGATATTTGCGGGATCGATTTTTGCCGACCGACTTTGAAAAGTCATCAGAATGTTATTGATGAACAGTTACGACACGTAGATATATTTTTTAACAACTACAACTATAATTTGCAGTCTTTCCACTTTGAATTTGAATTCATAGTCCCGTGAAGATTGATTCTGCTTCGTGAATGTCATCATTCCAACTGAGCTATCGGAGTTTGCAGGTCTTAACCCATTTAAACGATTGCGAATTTTCAAAGTGAAAATAGTACTTTATCGACCATCTTTGTAGTAAACTTAGAGCGAAAATCTTGAAAAATCAGAAAAACATATTTTCAAATATAACTCATTAGCTACGTATCGCAAAGTGCTCAGACTGAACCTAAAAGTAAAAATCCTATAAAATTCACCGATATTCACAGACTGAGGTGATGTGTGCATTAATATGAGAAGCATCAAATTAAATTCAACTTGGATGCTGCTGTCTAAGGATCGTGTTTGAGCTAATAATCAATGAAAGAACCCACAACAACAAAAAGACTGAAAGATAGTATTTTTTGAAAAAAAAAATTTAAAACCTATTAATTAATCCTTAAAAGCAATTCGCGTAACACAAGCTTGCTAAGGCTCGTAGATCCGTTCACACAGGCAAAATTGGCTGAGAACATGGCAAAAATTGTTCAGCACAGATCTTGAATCTGGGCGCTCAAGCCGATCTCAAAATGTACAAAACCTCGAAGATGAATTGTTTTCAAATACATAAATTTCCATTAAAAACTGTTTTTTTACTATAGAGTACAATATGCAACTGAAAATTCATCAAATACCTCGCTGCCTGATTGCGTTTCAAAACAGACCAAGCGTTCCGATCGGCCGTGATGAAAATTTCGTGATTTCGATTTCCTCTAAGGACAATTTTGTAAAGAAAAGCCTTCCTTCCATTATTTTGAACTTTCTCTTTCCCGCTGTGTCTTTTAGCGGTGTATTTTTAACCTTAAAATGCGGAACACTCGTCTTATAAACCACCGCCATAGAACTGTCTCACTTTTGCCTCACTTTTGAGGATCATTGTCTAGGCCTCACATTTCCGCTTGGACCACGTGACCCAAAACGCTTTGGCCGGCGCGGAATAATGAGGTCTGAGGACTAGGCAACGGCGCGTGTTTTTGATCAAACTAAACCTGGCGTTGCCCCATGTGATCGAAAAACCACCCCTTATGAGAAATATTTTCTTCACTTTATATATACAATCAAACGTCCAATATTTTCTATTCTATATATAGCATGGCAAGTGTTGCTATCATGGCTGGCGGTGCTGTTCGCAATTAACGCTGTCGCTTTTATTGGCGGCAATTATCTAGCGCGTTTTCTATCTGGTGATGAACCAAAGGCTTCCCTCGAAGAAAAAAGACACGACGAAGCTCTCGAGGCTTACCAAGCCGCTTAATATGAAAAAGAAAGAACAAATCTGTTTGCCTGGATCGAAACCATGCAGGAAATAAAAGAGCAGGCCAAGTAGAACTTCACGAACACCGACTACGCTTCCAAACTGTACAACCAGGTCCACCAACATGCGTAACTCACCATTCCCAATGAACCATAGTTCTCTGACTTCTACAAACCCAGCGAACTGCAAAAACAAGGCAAATCTTTGTTGGCACCAACGCTTTTGCTTTTGGGTAAGCCGCTTTTATTTTTTTTTTTCATAAATTAAATATATACGATGAATGCAAAGCTTGAAAATATCTACTACAGCCCTCAAGGCTACTGGAAAGGTCTCGCTGCAATCTAACAGTTAGCCCAGGCGGCAAAAGTTTCTGAAGACGTTGCGTTTCTGAAGTGGTTGATCAAGCAAGCCCTTTGGCAAATTTATCATCCAGCTCCAAAGCACATTCCTCGCCCCAAATTCGATGTGTCCACCTCAAATGCAGTTCACCAAGCAGACCTTTTTTTACCACATGACTCTCAAGGGCGTCGAAAAACATATGCTTTGACTGTTGTCGATGTTGCCAGCTGTTTCAGAGAAGCTGAACAGTTGACCACGAAAGAATCTGCTGAGGTTGCGAGCGCTTTCAAAATATTTAAAATCGAGGTCCTTTGAGATGGCCACAACTGCTTCAGGATGACCCTGACCCCTCATGGGTCCAGTCACCAAACAAATGGAAAAACACAAGGATAAACTTCTGACGTGGGCGCACGGAGATTCACCGGGACCAAACGATCGTTGAAAGATTCAACCGCACCCTTGCTGAGCGCCTTTTCGGAAACCAGTATGCTGTTGAAATGCGGCTGCCCGCAGGCCAAAGATCTTCCGAATGGGTGGTTCGGCTTCCTGCTGTGATCTTTTCTCTCAACAACGAAGTCACTCGCCCCACAGTAAAACGGCTGAGTCCATCAAAGAAAAGACCGCTCATTCCAAGGCTTCAACCCCTTATCTAAGACCAATTGGCATCCGTGAATATGGCTCCCCTCCGCTGCAGTTGGGCGGTATCTCTACCAACCTGGCCATCTCGAAGGTGGGGGAAAAAGAGCCACAGATCCGGTCTGGACTTTAAAAGTGTTCCACGTTGAAAAAAAACAGCACCAAATGAATGAACGGTTCCAATGAACCAATTTTGTATTTTTGCGCGATGGCCCCAAACGTGGCTTCGTGTACGAGGAGTTGCTTGTCGTGCCTGCCAACACCAAGCAGCAAACGCTTCAGAGATATTCGATCTGCTCCGTGTGGATGCTGTCTGGCAGCTTCTTTTGTCTTTTGTTCATAGGTGAATATCACCCCTGCGTTTATTCTAATTCCTGTTTTCGTGACTTTCCCAAGAAATCCATCCAGCGCGGTTTTGTATCTCTCCCAGCTCAGTTTGTTTTGGCGCTTCGAGCTCTCTTTTGAGGCCACTTTCGCCTGTCCTTTGTAGTCCTGCACCGCGCAATTCCGCGACTATGCCGTCGAACTCCAGCTGGAACTGCCCTGGCTTTCGCGCTCTCTATTTGTCCCACGCAAACCATTCTTTTTTGCTTGCTCTGAACTCTTCTTTCATGTCGGGGCGTACTGCCTCTTCCGTTTAATCAAACGACAACTCGAGGTACAGACTATGGGTGTCCATCAGGATCAGCCCGTAATCACGCCTGTCTACGAACTTGTCCAAACAGTCATAATAGGACTGTGGGTCCCTGAGCTTGGCCATCTGGTAGACCGTGATCCCAACTTTAAAAGACCTGTCAATTTACACTTGGCGCTTTTACAGCTACATTTTGTACACAATATCTTCCAAATCCTGAAACCACATCGATCGCAGATCTTTCCTCAAAACGCTTTCACTCTTTGTCTACTTCACAGTCGTCTGTCGCTCAAGAGCTTCTATGAACTTTCCATAAGAGCTGTTGTCCAAAAGCTTCAACACCTCTGGCAACAACGCCTGCTCTCGTTTTGATCGCTCTTGCGCCTGTTCCTCGTGACTTTTTCCACGAACCAGGTGAAAATGTTTTGTGGAACATAGCCAACGGTTTGGTGAACCACTGTGATTTCCAAACCATGGTCGCGATACCATTTCAGCATTGGCGCGAACAACAGCATCTTTTGGGCTAAAAGGGCGCCCACTAGCTTTTACAGTTCCTTGATGTGTTTGTACCTACTCCGCGTCAAATAGTCTTTCATGTGCCTCGACACCACCCCGCTTGGAGAGGGTTTGTTGTAAAACAACGGCGGCATTTCTTGCAACTTCTTCCACAACTCTCTTGGCACCTAGATGTCTACCTCGGCGAATCCAAACCATCTGTTTCTGCAGAACTTCGATGAACTTTTCGACTTTCCCTGAGGTTTGTGACCAATGCACAAATACCTCCTTGCCACAGGCCATTGCCCCAACATTGTGCTTGGGTACAGCGCGTTGGCGTCGTAGCCCAAAACTCTTTGACACATCTTCGCGTCTTGGAATTTGTTGGAACAGATTCTCGTTTTACCCGCCTCATGCGTTCGACAAAATACCAGGCTTGGCCCCTCGACAACCACGCCTTAAGGCCTCCTTCCCTAGGGCACACAACTATGAGGCGTCTCTTTTGTTCAGCGTGACCCGCGGGAGATATTTCATCGAGATCCCCGTTAGAGATACCGCTTCTTTGAAGATATCTGGTTCCTGCCTTTTGTAGAAATCTCGCATTGTCTCCAAAGTTTCAAGGAATTGCCCGACATCCAGATTGTTGTTAGAAGCGCAGCCAGTCCGTAAAAGCTTGTATCCCTTTTTAAAGTTAGATTCGCTGGCAATCATTGTACTCTTTTTCGGTGAGAGTCATCTCATTTTTAGCTTGGAGAACCACTGTTCGTACTGCGACAGCCCCGGGAAGTCCCACTTTTCGGCTGTCAAATCACTCGTAGGGAAACCACAATTTGGAGAGCTTCGAGCAGTACGTTTTCACCCATTTCTCATAACTGACTGATGTAGTTGATGATGTCCAGAAACTTTAACGACGGCGGCAACATGTACATGACATTGTTTTGTTTTTTGGCCACTTCGATATCACTAGCTGTTTTGCGCGATTTGTCGACAGTGACGATGATAACTTTTTTAAAATTTTTTATTTTCGCAGTTCACGTCATCTCTATGCTTATAATTTTGTCGCGCACGGATTGCGCTGATCGCGCATGTATCATAGTGCAAACTCGGGTGGCTCATTGTATATATTCGATGGTGTCCGAAATCAGACATGACCTCATTAAAGAGACAAACTTGGTCTGCCTTGTTTTTATTGTTTTTGCGGCCGTTTTGGTAATCACGAACAGCTTTTGGCGATGAGTTTCGACAGCAAGAGTATTTAAAAGAGAACATCAAATCAATCGGAACCTGTTATTTCAAATTAAATTAGAGGGAAAATCGAGTCAAGAAATCATTTCAGTGCGTCTCATTGACGAGTTTCCTTTAGGCCGCGTTTTATCGATGGAAGTGCTTGTCGGACTAAGTTCGGCTTTTTTACCGTCAAAACCTTGCTTTTTCTCGAAATCCACCGTTGAATTCATGTTACACCGAGACAAATGCACAACTAACTTGGCGCTTTTCCCGCAGATGGAACGAAAACCTAACAAGCAAAAGCATAAAGTGAAAAAAGATTCTTGCCCTCGATTGTGAAACGTAGCGGTTTAAAAAAAATAGCGTGTTTATATTTAAAGCTACGTGTCCAGTCCAAATGACCGGAAAACCATTAGTTTGTCCGGGCAAATGGTCATCTTGGCCGGATATTGTCCGTTGAACGGCCGTTATTTTAATCCCTCTTTTAATAACCTGTGTGCAACTTCACTCACGTTGTGCGGACGCTCTTCGACTTTTCTGCTTCGACCCGAACTCAATGTTCCTCTGACTTCATAACGACGTGGTGGCGGATTCCCTAGCATGTTCGTCGAAAATGTGAATCCACTTCGTTGGGACCGATTAGGCTTGTCCACAGTGCATCGAATTGATAGAATCAAATCTTTCCAACCCCCTCACGGGTTTGATGTTTCGAATTTTGTTGGTACTCATAGGCCGCTTTGGCTGATGCTTCTTTTAAAGAAACGGATTCAAAAGCCTGTGCTTTGTTTCCGCAGCGATCGGTTCATCCAAAATAATTTGAAGAAATGGTTCTTCACCCCGGTCCTGTAGAATCCACTCCACGTAACCTTCCATCGTGAATTCAAAATCGCCCCGCAGGTCGATGGGATCGTCCTGTGTGGTCATCGCGATTATGCATAGCTCAGCATAGCTCAGCAGATTATGCATAGGCTGCGCGAGACAAGTGTACCCGGCGGCCTATGGCCGCAGACACGTCAATTGCTGTTTTCGATCACAGCCAATGCGAAAATTCTTCTTTCCTGTAGGCACCTGCTCTCAGGTCTTGGTCCCGGATGACGTTTTTTTTTCCGCAGCCACCTTCCAAGGTGTGTTGTGCCAGTGCCGTCAATTTTTTTCCACCAGGGTGAGCTATTTTGAGTGGCGGCCGACATAGAAGAAATCATTATCGGTGAATTCATTTTCGAGAGGAGATGTCCGCGGCCGGTCGAGTGTTGTGCCGCGCCAATAACGTCGATTTGCGATGGGAGCCCAGAGGCCACGAGCTCACAAATAAGTGTAGATATTCTGACTCCCTCTCGACTACTACATTTCCGTGACTCTCACGTTTACAAGTATCGGAGCCAAGCTGAGAAGTACGGCTTTGAAGATCTTTGAACATGAGAGTTTTCTAATTCTCTTCAAATGATATGCACTCCTTGTTCAAAATAAATGAAAACGTTGTAAGCTATTGCCAGTGAGCTGTCATTATTTTTCGAAATAAGAAACACGATCAGTCATAAGTGAGTTTCTTAGCACCTTCCTTAAAATAAATAAATCTAAGGAACAAATGTTTTTATTTATGCAAAACTCTTTTTACCCTGATTACAGCTAACAGCTAAACTTTTTTTAATTTTTACGAGTTTGGACTACATTTTGGGCCGTTTTACACCTATCGGTAACCCCATTGACGTGTGCCACGCTCGTATGTGCTCTTTTTTATCTTTTATTTATTTTTTTTCTCTCTCACCAAAGAAAATAAAATAGCTAACAATGCAATTTTCATAATTCAGGCACAATTGGTTTGTTGGGGAAGAAATCCCCTCAGTTTTTCACTCACGGCCGCATGATGAGTTCTCTGGTGAGCCAACTTCAGGACACGCCCTTTTACGTCGACCAGAGGCACAAGAAAGTTTTTATCGACTTTGGCAACAGTTTACCTATACATGAAAATGGAACCCTGTACACGGATTTCAAAGACAGTCTTCGTGTTGCTTTGCCTGTTAATGAAAAACCCTCAATGACATGCTCTGACGATCTACTGTGGCTAGGTGAAGTTCACAATAAGTACCCCAGATGGTACCAGAATTCCGCTGGGGTGCAGGTCTTCCCAGATCGTGGATTATTATCAGAAAAGACGATGGAAAAGCTTAAAAGCCATCCACTGGTTGTTGTTGAGGTACGTTGCTATCCAAGCAAGTGCAACAGAAAGTTTAAAAATTAAAATAAGTCACGTTTACACGTAAGAATACATTTAGTATAGACAATACGACGTTGCATTATTTATACTATGTCTCTAAAAAGCTTCTCGAACCGTTGTTTTAAGGTCTTTATTAAATATAATTACTATCGAATAGGAAAATTACATTCTCTTGTATAGAACTACATCATGGTACCAAGGTCCAAACCAATCCATTGAAATTATTCCTGAATAATAAAAAAATGGAAGTGTCGAATTAAAAAAAGGCGAAAACATTAAGATACGGAAGAAACTGAAAGGAAAAATAGCAAGGGTAACAGGACTGACTAGAATCTAATTCGGTCTGTAATCATACGAGTGATTAACAAAAATCGGACGACCGCGTAGCGGGAGTCCGATTTGTTTAATCTCGAGTACGATTAAAGACCGAATTGAACGACACAAAGTTCTGTTACCAATTAATCATAACTTTAACAAAATTAGCGATATATGACGCCCTTTTTTAAATCAAAAACAAGAAATTCCAAGATTTTTTTTAAAAAAAGCCATTTGAAGCGCGCGCGTGATGGCGCGTACTGTTCAATTACTTAGGCATGACGCGTAAACTGTCCTATTAAGGCTGAAATCAGGGGAGTTGATAACGAATCAGATTGGAGAATTTTGTTATAGTTATGATTAACAAATAAACACCCCTTTTAACAGTACTTAAAAATGGTGAATTTTGTTTCTCTGTATCCACAGGCGAGTGGGAATTTTCCGGACCTCAAATGCAATAATATATTGCTAGCCGAAAATCGAGATGGCATGGATATACATCCATACAGTACATGGACATTTCGTAAAAATCCAGGAGAAGCAGCAAAAGTTCAGCTGCTTGCGACGAAGTTTGGAGAGCCTCTCTCTGGTGCTCGAGTCAGACTTGATCCTTGTAACTGTGAAAAAATTTTCTCCGGCGGTCCAAAAGTTGGGCAACCTGCATTAGATGTTCCTTCTAATTTAGGCACAGACAAAAACGGACTTGTAACGTTTGACATTGAAACAAAAGATCCGAAAAATAACAGGAGCTATATTGATGGACAGCTTTATCCTTTTATGTTCTCTCTTGAGAGTCAAAACAAAAGCTGCTCAATCATGTGCGAAAACGATACTTTGCAGTCGACGCTCCGTAACTTGTTGGTTGTTATTCATGTGTGGGATCAATACAAGCCCAAAGGGGAGGAGCCTACCTGGCTGGATGATGTTTATCCCATCTTCAAACAATACGCTAATTTATATCCAGTAATGACAGATAACTTCGTTAATCTGGGAAATTATTACGACGTTATAAACCACAAAAATGCTATACTAATGAGTCTACAGCTACCCATCTCTCACCCGAATCATATGCCTGTTTCTCGCGACCTTTCCAAGTCAAAACGTCAGGTCATTATAAAATGGCTATCCAAAGACAAGCTTCCTTTTGGCGAGCCAAAGAAATTTTACTCGGTCGAACACCTCCGAAGAGACTTGCAGACTGCTTTAGAATTAGAGCATGCAACTATTCCTACGTACCTTACTGCTTTGGCTTCTATCAAGTCCAGCTACAACCTCAAAATCCAAAGAGTAATGAAGGTAGTAATAATTCAAGAGATGATGCATATGGCACTTGTTGCAAATATCCTTAATGCTGTCGGAGGCGAGCCATCTCTGTACTCAAAGAACTTCATTCCCAATTACCCTTGTCGACTTCCCGGGGGAGTACAGCCAGACCTGATTATTCCAATTGAAAAGCTTTCACTTGGCCTAATCAGGAACATATTTATGAAAATAGAAGAGCCCCAGTTAGAACAAGAACGAATCTCCAGTTTTGAAGATATGATTTCCTCGATAAAGTACAAAAAGAGTGTGGAAGGAGGCCACTGCCAGAAAAGCGAAAAGACGGAAGACTGCACAATTCAGGACTCTCAGGAGGATGAGCCTGATGATCGTCCATCGGGATGTCCCTTTGCATTCTCCAGGGAGCAATTTCTTAAAGGTTAGAAAATTTATCCCTAAATAAACATTGACAAATTTCTATTAATGATCTAAAAGAAATTTAACTGAATACCATTGGAAAAGAATTACATTTCTGCTTGACGTTGTTCTTTCTAGAAACTATTTCCTGGTAACCATCACAGCAGCGATTAATTGTCATCACCTACTTAAAGTAACAGTCTGGTACTTAGTTGCAAAGCTGTCAGCGGTGATTTAACAATTATTTGCCGAAGCCGGAGGTTGAGGAAAATAATTGATCTGCGAGAAACTGCCATCAAATCTCTATATTTTGCGATAAGCGAGTTCAATAATTGTCTTTTCCATTCGATCAGAGAGTTTGTTTTTTAATGAATATCTCTGCCAAGAGTGATTGTAAGAAGGACAAAAGAGTGGTTTCATTAGTGTATGAGCAGAATATAATTTGCAGCCAAAAATGGTTGGACGACATTGCACATGAGCAGACCATTATTTGCAGGTCATGATAAAAAAGTATTCTCTTCCAACAGCCTATGGCTTTAGCTTCTAAACTATTCCACGAGTGCGCATTGGATACGAGATGGTAGATAGCCCTAGTTATCTCATATCCAACAAGCGCGACTGGAATTATAATAGTTTTGTTAAAAACGCCCCCAAAATATTGGGAACTCTTCCCGATTTTATTTGTAAAAACAACCGATTTTCATTTTTTTTTTTTTTAATTTTGAGTAAAAGCGTACTGTTACCATATTTGGGGAGCATGGTATAATGGCTTATTACACCATAATGGCTATGCCAATCAGAGCTCTAGAATTGCATTATCCAATGATTCAACTTTTAATAATAGCTATTAGTATCTACACACTCAGTGATCTTGGTGATTCAAGCAAACTGATTGGTTCGCTGTTTCGGACTGTGACGTTATGTTCACCCCGCTAAGCGGTGAATATATAAAAGCAGAAATCGCTGTCGTGAACAGGATGTTTTGCCAAAGTTTCAGAATAAGAACCTTTTGAAAATACAAGAATATCCTAGTGTTGATGATTTTGAAGGTAAGAAAAGGCTTCATGGTGTTTAAACAGCGTGATTTATTGTAAAGTGATTTACCGTTGCTGACCTTTTGTACGATCGAAGCAATGTTTTAATTTTGCATATATTTACAAATTAATTTATGGAGAAAAGAGGAAGGCAAATATTTTCGCAAATTGTACGTGCCAGCAAGTTAACAAGGCAAAGAACACTGCAGATAAACAATGCTCACCTCGCTCATAGCCGCTGTTGACAGCATTTGCAAGAAGCGACACAAAAGACTTTCTCATTCACGGTGAGTTGACAGAAACAAATAAAGCTCTTCGTTTCCTCCCTGAAAAAGGGGTAGTAAATTCGAAAGTTTATTATAAAAACTCTCGACGTTTTCTTTTAAACCATTGATGCTAAAGCTTACAAAGAGTTAAAACTGTGATTTGCCATGTGTAAAGATACCAGCTTTTGCCCATCTACTGTCTAGGGCTACGTGTTCACGCGTGTGCACCCGTCAATCGAACTAATCGTTTTTTTTTTAATGATTTTCTTTCTGATTCCGTCGAGATCACTTCGTGTGAATACACTGAAACAATTATGTTGTTGAAAAATCCCCTCGACGTAGTCTCGGGTAATATTCAATCTAAGAGAATTGCTTTGCATAGATTTTAAGGTTCGCCAACTGCGAGGTATGGTTGATCCGGTAAGTCACCATCTAGAGGAACTCATCCAAGAAGAAGGAAACAAGGAAGAAAAGAAACAGGTAAATACATTCTTGAATACTTCACTTTTATTGGCACTTAAGTATCTAATTTGATTAATACTTGAACTCACTACCGCAGATATTATTAGTAGAGGAATAATGAGAGTTTTAGGACGAAGGCTATCCACCGATAGATTTCCCAGGGAAAGCCTTCTAATTTTCAAGAAGACTTGCAGATACAGACAGGCTGCATCTCATTAATATTCCACCAGTTCTATTTATAGGTTAAGGTTAGTGTTAGTCATGTGATTAATTCTCTGACGTACACGCAAATCCATACCCCCACCGTGGTACAAGGGAGGGGGGGGGGTGGATAGACCCCTCTCCCCTCCCCTAGAGTTTTTGATATGTTGCAGTATTTCGAAACGATTTTACCTTCAGTGGAAAGCCTTTGATCTTCTCTACAAGATGAGGTATATTTTGTGGGAGATGGCGCCGCTGAGGGCCTGTGACGTCCCCAGTAAGGGTCGCCATCTTGCCTGCCATCTTGGATTTTACCAAGAATTAGAAATCAGGTGATTTTTTTTGTGCTTGACATGAAAAATAACATAAATAAGCACTTTGCACGATTTTAGCCACAAGATTTACTTTTATTTTTGAAAAAAGTTGAAAAAACATGTACTTCACTCAAAAAATGGCTTGACCAACTCCTACTTTAATCTGACGTCATATCTCGTAACCATAGAAAGCGATAATAATGATAATAATAATTGTAATAATAATAATACAATATTTTATGAGCGCTAGTTCCCAATGGTCCGAAAACGCTTTACATAATAAGCATTAAGTAAAAATAAAGAGATCCCCCTAACAAAAACTAAATTAAAATCCTATAAAGCTACATTATCGACCTTTAAAACATCAGCATTCTATAAGACAGCATCGTGAGAAAGTTCTAAAAAGCCAAGTCTTATGCATAGACTTAAAAGAAGAAAGGGAATTACAAATTCTAACTCGAATGGAAGTGCATTCCAAACAGAGGGTGTATTAATAGTAAAATACCGGCCACCATAAGTCTTAAGATTAAATTTAGGTGAAGAAAGTAACAATTGATTAGAGGATCTAAGAAGTCTACCAGGTGTATAAGGCTTGATAAGATCAGTAATGTAGTTAGGTACAGCACCATGAAGAGCCTTATATGTAATCACCGCAATTTTGAAAGTTATCCTATATTCAATAGGTAACCAATGAAGCTGGATAAGCAACGGCGTAATATGTTCATGTCTACTAGTAAGGTGAATAAGCCTAGCAACACTATTTAGGACATACTGCAAACTTCTAAGATACACTTTGGCTGACCGTAGAGCAACGAGTTACAATAGTCGATCCTTGCAGTAACAAATTAAAGGCATGAATTAGAGCTTTGCATGTATCGTGAGAAACAAAATAGCGAATATTAAAATATTGCGTAGATGAATAAAAAAGAAGACTTGCATACAGCAGTAACTTGCGGAACCATCGATAGAGAGTTATTTAAAATAACCCCGATATTTTTAGCAATAGTTGAAGTCAACAGTGTCAGAAGCAATCACCAGGTTATTTTATCGCAGGACGTGTGGGGGATACGAGGCGTTCTAGTTCATAATCATCGGGTGCTTAGTGAGAAATCAGCCTGAAGGTGTTCTTCATACGTTCTTAAACTTTGTTTCAGAAATACTACACATAACATGTTACTAGGGCTTTAGTTAGCTTATTTTATCATAAATAAATAAGTAAGTAAACATATCAGCCAATTTTTATAAAATGAAAATCTGTCAGGTAGAAAACTAGTAAACATTAACGAGTAGAAATGTAACATTAGTTTCAGCATTTTTAAAATAATTCTTACAGTCATGCTAACTCAACCGGGGCCACCATTGACTTGTCAGCCAATCAAATTTGGTTTCATGTAGTAAAGACTCCAACGGCTATGCAACCAGCAGTCAATCACATTGAAGGTTCGGATTTGAAATTGATGTAAAAACGTAATAAGCCAATCCGGAAGCTCTAGCAAGGGTGGCCCCTCTTGAGTTAGCAGCTTTGAAGTTCTTTAGACCAGTTGCACGTACCTATACCCTACCCCTTGTATCACCCACTAATGTAATAATCAACCATTATTGCAACACTAACTACTAATGTAATAAATATCAACCACTAATGTAATACTAACCATTCATGTAATAAATATCAACCACTAATGTAACAAAATGTAATAATTTTTTAACCTTTAATGTAATAAAAAACTTAACACTAATGTAATAACACTACGACTATTAATGTAACAAACTCAAAGAGAACAGCTGATTCGTTATTTAGAATTATTAGGATTTATAAAAAAATCATGTGACCTCCTGCTTTGATGTCAGGCATGGCTGTTTCAACGCAACAAGGTCACTCAACATAGTCACTTTCAGACTGGGTGTTAAAACTTCCCCACAAGAGATTATCACTGTGCAGGTGTCTCTGTGCTTGAAGAAATAGCGAAGGAATCGAGTGAAGAAATAGAAGCTTCCAGGTCACCATCCTCTGCCGCCATTCTGTTTAAATTTTGGCGCGAGAGTAGCAATCTCTGACCCAGAGCTGTCACCCACGTCCATCCAAGCTCCGTACTAACTCCGCTGATCAGCAGGTGCAATAGCCGTATATATTTTTGAAGTTGTATAGGCATAAATATATTATGCAATGGTTCGAATATGTTTTATTAGGCATAAATATATCATGCAATGGTACGAATATATATTTATTAGAACCAATGTAAATTGAATGACAATAATGTCGCTGGGAATTAATTTTGCGATTTTCAGAAAGTACTCAGTATCCTACATTGATAATATTTTCGTTTTTGTTAAGCAAGTGCAATAGCGTACTGTGTAAAACCAGTGGCTCATTGTAGCGTTTTGTTTTTGAATAAAAGAGGCAAGTTGTAATTGAGCAAACAGATTTCTTAGTACTGTGTACATTGTATATACCTGGATGTTTGAAAACCGGGTTAGCAAAAATATCAACTCATTCTACTACTTGGCAATTTAAAACAACAAAACTCATTCAAAGGCCGATTAAAAAACTTCATCTGACGCTGTGCAGTAAGTGAATGGTGCCTAGAAGCATTCCAGCGACTCCAAATTTAAAATGATGCAAATTTTAGAACATTTATTCATGTCATTTCAGTCTAGAAATTTTTAAGTTGAGTGAACCGCAGCGAAAGAGTGCCTGGTTAAGGCTTACATAACAACGTCAATAGTTAGAAGAACACTACTTTTTTCGCGGTCCGATAAACGACAGGATTTCGCATGGAATAGACAACGAACTGAATGAAACATAGTACACAAATTATCACCTTCCTATCTACAAAACCGGCCTACGGTGCAATGCCATTAGAACCCGCTGAAACTAGACCTAGATCCAATTTTCCTTAGTCGAGAGTTGCTTTCCAAGGTACAATCAGCTACGCTAAACACCGACGAAACGTTTTTATGGCTGGCACAGAATATTTTGGCGGAAACGCAGTTCAACCACGCTATCCCATACTTGCCAACACCATGCGGAAAACATACAATCACACACTTTCGCGGCACTGATAAGACTATCCACGACCACGCATAATCTTCTCAAGTTTAACACAAGTGAAATATCATCGAATAACCCGGAAAACTCCGCCTATTGGCATATAAACATCTATTTGATATTTGGTATAGCAGGTTAGATTAAAGGCATCCAGAGGCTGATGTGGGCTCTAGGCTCTTCTCTTACAGCATGAAATGCTGCAAAACGTGAACTCTTGTGGGGAAATTTTTTATCACCCAGTCTGAAAGTGACAATGTTGAGTGATCTTGTTGCTTTGAAACAGCCGTGCCTGACATCAAAGCAGGAGGTCATATGATTTTTTTCCTTCAACCAGCTGCAGCATTAACATGATCCTCTGGAGCATAAAATCCTAAAGACACCCATGGCAACTGTTATAGTTTTGGAAATGTCTAGCAGCAACCACAGTTACATTGCTTTCTTATTTCGACACCCTCTCCCTTATTATATAAGAGCATGTTTTGTTTATCAGGCAGAACTGGTTCTTATATACAGCTATTTCGAAAAAGGTTGTCGGAAAAAGTGCACGCGACAATCCCGAAAGGTATTGTGGATGGTTTTTAGTTCACTGTTTTTCAAAGAAATTTGAGATAATGGCAAGAGAGGCCATGGACTTATGTTTGCGAATGCTAAAGGAAAGCAACAAAAGTAGGTTCGACAGCTACAGTGTCAGGAACAGTGTATTGATCATATCCTAAATAATTTTCGGGATAATCGCGTGCACAGTTTTTCCGACAACCTTCTCGAAATAACTGTATATGGTGGTTTAGGGGACAAATTTCAGCCTGATGTTCTTAATCCATTTGTTCTTATATACTGGTCTTTACTGTACTACATGCATCGGAAAGTGAAAGAGAGAGACGCACACTCTCAAGCCACACTCACTCAAACCTCACTCTAGCAAAAAAGACCTCGGTGCAACCACCGAGCAGTAATTATAATATATTCGTTGATGTATACGTTCAGCTCCTTTGGGAGAATTTCCTCTCACGTAGTCTTGATTCGCTCCTCGGCGTCAGAAATTGTTTGAGGAAGCAAATCGAACTTCTATTGAGTTTTCTTTTTTTGTAGTTCTTGATTTTTCTTTTTTCATTTTCTTGATTCTCCATACATTTTTTTGATGGATTAATTCAGAGAACCTTCAAGCCATGATTCTGTAAAACGTTGCAAGAGTTCACTTTCCTTCACCTAGTCGTGGTAAGCCGAAAGGTGGGAAAGCTTATACGAAAAATTCCGTATGCGTCCCGTGATTGGTCATACCGTATTTCCACCAGTGACAAAAATCGTATTGCCAATATAATTGCTTCTCTTTTGACAGACCATTTTTATTTGAAAACTTTAATTTCTTTAGATTAAATATTTGAACTGATCTAACAATATGTATTTATTAAAATGAAGATGTATTTAATCGAATGTTTTGTGTCAGCGGAATTCCTAAAATTTAGAAAAATCACTGGATTTTGAAAACTGTTTTCAACTGGATTTTACTGTAGGTTTTTCTTTCTTTTCTTTCTTTTAATTTGGCCTTGGCCAGTCACGACCGGTCAAAGGCGGTTCAACTCAAGGTCAAAGTAAGAAAAAAAAAAGACAGTTCAGTCTGGTTGAAAACAGTCTTCAAATTCCAGCTTGAACCAGTCAAAACCGGTTTTTCCCGTTAAAAATGTGCTGAGTCAGAAAAAAAACCAAGAAAGAATGAAAATGTCCCGGTACCCCTTATTACCATACTACTCTGGCGATTCATGTGTCACGGGACTTTCTCTGATGCATTTCTGTTTTACTGCACCAAATGATTGTGAAGAAAGTGAACATAAAACGGTCATGGGTTACGTCCTCTCATTATCATCTTCCTATTTATTTGTGTATTTATTTATTATTTTTAGCATAGATACTTTCCGGGCGAGGACATACAAATCGTGAAGCATCAAAACACTATCGGGGCTTTCTACAATCACATTTTTGACGCCCTTAGCAACCTTACTGACTGTGGAAAGAACAACAGTATATTCACCGGCAATAGAAGCAGACAGGTAACTTTAAGCGGATGGTCTGTGCACGGACACACCATAGAGGTGCACAACTACTTAACAGCTGTGGACGCCATTAAAGAAATCATTGAACAGGGTGAAGGTAGTTCTCCGTGCAACCCGGTTGCCTGGGATACTGGAAGTAAGAAGGACCTATCGCATTATTTTATGTTCTACTCAGTTGCAGAAGAACACGAGATTAATGTGGTAGAAACAAACGCGTCTCTAGACGGTAGCGAGGACGACGGTGTGACAGATTTCATTAAGGTGGGTATGATTTTTCAGCAGACAAGAAATACGAAAATAGGGTAGAGTGGAGCATACACCCAGGGAGCCCTAAGGAACAGGATATTTGTCCCCTGAAATGCAACTTAGTGTTCAACATAGATAACTGATCTCTTAGGGGGGTGTCCCTGGAATAGAAGTGAGGTTCCACTGCACTCAGTAAGTATCCTAGCCATGTATGTGCGAAAATAGAAGAACAAACCATACCTAATCAAATTTACATATCTTGCACTGGACCTGCACTGGTATTCGACATCCTCTAGAATTGCCTACCTGGACGATGAATATGAGCAAATTTACTAGATAAACAGACCGTTCTCTAATGTATGTCGAGTTCCGATCTAGTTCTGCGGCACTGTCAGTGCTATTCCCTAAAATAATAGTTTTATGCTTGCCTGTCCCGCTGTATTTTCCCCCTCAAGGCAGCTATTCTTCTCCTTCTCATTTTTCCCTTTATTGCTTCAACTGACAAGTATGATTTTTGTGTATTGAGGCTTTTTAAAATAGCTCATCCACACTTGACGTACAGAAAGATCAAAGCAACTGTATTTCTTTTTACTAATGGTCAAAGAATCTTTTTTCCATGATGTATTAGAATAAGTAAATATGAAGCTTATATCCTTTATAGCTTTGTAACGGCACATACTACTTCAACGGCTCCAAGATTTCTTTTGATCCAGAAGGTGTTTGGCCCATGGTTCCCAATCCCCGAATGTCTAAGTACAAGAAAGGGTCCAATGCATATTGGCAAGCAGAAAGATTAAATAAGGTGTACACTAAGCTACTACAATCGCTGGATAATGTCTTTAACGGCCATCCCGAGACCTTAAAAGATGCCCTGGGTCTCATGTTTTCTGTTGACCTTCATTTGAGAAACCTGCTGGCCACGCCTATTGATGACAATGGAGATCCTGATGTGGGGCCAAATGCTGGCCCTACTTTTGATTTTACACCCTAACAATCAAACAATTGTTATGGAAACGTTGTGTGTGTTTTTCTCTCTTCATTGATATGTTTTTTCTTAGTCAATTCTAGGCCCATTTATCAACAAACAAAAACAAACTAGTGCTAACTAGTACTAAGAATTGGTAGTATGAAGTCCAAGGTTGATGTAATAATCTCTTCTATTATTCAAGTAAGGTCGTGTGGTAGATACTGTTAAGCCAAATGGAAACAATTAATTTTAGTATTGTTAGATAGCCAATAAGTAACACACCACTGAAAACCAGACTATATTGTTTTCTTCCTGTCAGCATAGGTTTAACAATATTGATGGCTGAGTTTGATGAAATAAATAATAGTTAAAACTTACGTCTATATTTAAAAATTTTAAAGAATTTTTTGGCCATTCAGTTCTCATTAAAGCTTCACCTAGTCTGTTCCCTCAGTTCTATTTTTCTCCCGACCAGTTTGTTAAAGGTTGCGAGGTCCGGGTGAAGGCGGCCTCACGTACATTTTTTTCCCTTTGTCTCCCGACTCCCGCCCTTTATTGTGTTTCTCTCGTTATCATGTTAATCACGCTGTTTGACTCCCTGTTCTAATAGGGAGAGAGTGCTTTGGCCTTGTCCAAAATAAAAAAATTGTGTTGTAAATCGAACCACTCCGCACTTTCCAGTGCGATCACTGAAGCGGCATTCCTTCGACACAAGTTTACACCACGCAGTAAAATCTTCAGTGTTTTGTAAACTACAGTCGTACGGAGCGAGCTCCCAGGAAGGTCTTCCATGGACGGATGTTTCCCCACCACACCGAAAAATACTGAGACAGATCAAAATGGTCTTTGACGACATTTGAATTGAATCGCTTTGTCGTTCTTACGGAGAATTTCGACAGCTAGCGAGACAGACGAGACACTGACAGTCAACACACCTGTACATGTGAAATGTAATCTCATTCATGTCCTGTGATGTAAGCGACTTGGAAAGGTTTCCAATGTCACAGGAAGTAATGCTGTTTTTTTTATTTTTTTAATCCCGAGTGCGAATTTTCGTTTTTTGACTTTTCTCGCGTATAAAACTTTGCTTTAAGCCTCGGAGAACGTTAATGGAAGTCAAGAAACATTGTTGGGTTCGTTTCTTTGACTGGATGTGAGCAGTAACAAATAACGAAGGCTTGCCTTTTTGAATTTCTTTCCCGCTTCCCGCCATCGTAGAGATCTCGCTTTTCCGGCCTTTCTTCTCCTGTCTCCCGTACCCCTCCCGCCCCCTGTTCTCCCGGGCTTCCACCCCCCTGTCCCCTGCCTCCCCGCCACTTTTCATGCGACGTTTTCGTGGCGGTCAGCTGTCGTGGCATCTTACACTCCCTAATATTTACGAAGGTGTGATCGATGCAAGCGTGAATATCTGTTGTAAGCTCAAGCTTGTATTTTCGGAAAAGCGTCTTACTAGTTTTCGGGTAGACAGCATTTTGAAATGGAGAGTTTATATCAAACTGAAAGTTGCATGACTGCGACAAGCCGTGATCGAGTCAAAAGCCGTCGTGTACGAACTCACGAAAAGAACTCAGGAGATGTTGTTCGCCGATTGGGCACAACAATTAAAAATACAAATCATTTTTTGTGCCCAATCAGGAGCCAGCATTCGCTTGACTGTCTGGAAATGGTCCGGTGAGAGTCGGTACCCAGGGCCTTTTCCGCCTGTGCTTGAAAACTAGTCCAGTCAAATTGTGGTTTAGCATCAAAGTAATTGCAACAGAATTGTTTTCAAAGCCATTTAATTGTTGGATGGCTCTTTAACAACATACTAAAAATCCGCCAAAATCGGTTCGGTGACTGAAACAAGAGAAAAATTGGCAATAAAGATTTCAACTTTTACCACAGGACACCCAATTTCAGGAAGATCACAAATTCAGGCAAAACATCTGATAATTCTGTTCTTTTTCCTCAAGAATTTTCGATAGAACATCGCTAATGCATTTTGGGTACTTTTGTTTTAAAAAAAGCCGACTAAATGTGTCAGAAACACGTGGGTCAGTGTTTCGTCTTGAGGGCTTTGCACAGGTTACCCAGCCACTCGTCTGTCTTCACATTCTGTTTTCCAAGCTTTAATTTTTTTCTATGACGGTATTTAAAATGGAAATTATTAGTCAGTCTGTACGTGTTAACATGGTTAGAATATTATTGCTTTCTTTTACGCAAAATCAGAAATGCAGTAAGTATTTTAGCTGTTTTACTGGCTTGTAATTTTTTTTATATCCGGCAGCATGGATGCAAATTTAGTAGCTGACTGATGGTAAACAATTTGATTTGATATTTTGTTCACCTGCAGTCAGCTACTTAATTTGAATCCATGCTGGAAGATACGTGCGACTAAATGTTTGCAACGAACGATAGTTTTGTATCAGTACAAACTGTTTATAACCTATTCCCATTTTCCATAATCGAGGTTTGTGATGTTAATATGATCATAACCTTGGACAATATGTGTGATCGAAATCGGGGATTCATTTTTTTCTCGCGACATGCGCAACCTCCTTTACGATTATGACTCTATACTTTACAAGGTGAGTGAATAAATGTTCTGCTAAGGACTCCGTTTATTTGGTTTTGGCTAGATCGTTTCATTACACATGGCCGAATTTGAGGGAAATCCAGAAAACCAAGGCAGTGTGATTGTTCTTTTTTTTTAATCTTCTTCTTGTAACGAGCCTCAGATCTCAGTTTAGTTTAGTGTATCTCTGTGTTCAGTTTGTATTTTCTGCCGCAGCCCTTCATTTCTTGGTAAGATGAATCGCTCTGTGGTCTAAAGGCGTTTATATTCCCTCCTTGCATTTCTTTTGTGAGAACAACCCTGAACCTTGACCAGTTTTTTTTCTCGTCCATTGGCAGATGAAGACCTCTTTTTCTTAACGATCATGGGATCCTATACGTCTGAAAATAATTGCAGTAGTCAAGGAAGGCGCGAAAGTACTGGACACATGTACAACATTAATGGGCTTGCCTGACTTAGCTTCTGATGGCTCACCTCTTTTTGCGGAACCTATGTTTCTCTTCGGATGAGCGTTGTGTAACACTTCAACTTACTGCATGTTAACCTTCTGACTGAGTTGCGTGAATTATGCTCTGCGTTGGGGATTTCCGTTACCCATAGACTCTTACAAGATATTTTTACATACGCATTGTTTTGGCTACCCAGAGTTTGTCTTTCCCTTAAAAAGCAGCTTCCCTATTAAACTATTTCGTTTTCTTGAAACAAACGTTCGCTGGAACCAAAGTTCTTATGCGATGAATGTTCCGTTAAGCTTTATTACTTTTTTTTGTGAAGGTAACAACACTTTTCCTTAAATGAAAACGCATTTCCCTCTTGTCAAATTCATAGGCATTGGAGCTTAACCTGCTCAAAAACTCTGCATTGTTGTGCATCGTAAATTCACTCCTCTCCATTCACTTTTAACAAGAAGAAAACGAAAAGCTTCAAAAAAGTGAAACTGGTATATTTGAGGATGACGGTACGTTAACGAAAATTAATGTAAAGGTAATCGTAAAAGCTGCAAAGAATTATCTCGCTGGATTTTTGAGAACCTACCGAACGAAAATTGTAGTCTTTTGACTGAGGAAAAGACCAAAAGCCGAAAACAAAATGAGCCCGAAAATCCTCCTAGAAAAGAACAAGGAGAGGGAAAATAGAGTGCGCGAAGAGAAAGAAAGGAGTAGAAGTCAGAAAAAAAAAGGAATGGCTGTACTACTAGTGTCTTTTTTTGTTTGTTTTTGTTTTTGTTTTTTTTGTCACTTCTGTTTGACGGGAGAGCCCTATTTTGGCTGTAACGTTATTCAAAAATCTTCGCGCCGAGGGCCATACTCAGCACCGAGGGCACTGCATGGTTTTTCCTATAAGATACGACCGGCAAATACATAATAGGAGTCATAACTTAGAGTAGTAATTATAATTAAGAGAAGAAAGAAAACGGAAGAAAACAGTAGGTAGTATGTAGGACTTGAACACGCATCATTTGATGACCCCATATGCACTACACCATCAAGGGCTGTAACTGCCGACATCGGTTAATTTCAACGTACTTAACATGGCATTGATCATTACATTACTAAAAGCTAACCGTTTTTGAATTCGAAAGATCTAATCACTGTACTTCGGCTCTAAACCCTGTATGCAACTTTTTTCCTTGCACAGCTGTCTCTTACTTTGATTTCCACACTTTTCTCAAAAATGTGGTCCGATAAATTTGCATAAATGGTCTACGAGGAGCACAGGGTTGTCATCTGTAATAAATTAAAAATATTAAGGTATCCATTCTAGTTACAACCCTCCCGGCATATACACATGTCTCGGGATAACCGTTCTGTCGGTTGTAGTGAGCCCATAATTACCACACAGGGAATGTGGAGCAGTCATGAAATTAGAACTTCGCCATTCGCCTCGGCAGTTAACTGAGTGGTCTTTTTGTGATCGCTTGGGCTATGCAGTTTCGGCGAGTCCTACCAAGGACAGAGAGTTGTCTATGATGACCATGCTCTTCTGATTGAGTTAGAATTACATCACAACCTCTGCGAGCTCTTTCCAACGTTACTTCAGGTCAGGTTTTTCATGTCAGTTTCGTCAGGTACTGAAAAAAGAAAATTCCGACTTTTCCCTGATCTTGAAAACTTTTTGTTTTTCCCTGACCGTTACAATCCTGAACGAGACAAATAAAAATAAGGCACTGATAAACCAAGTTAAAGAATATTAATTCAAAATTAAAGAATAAACGGATAGCAATTGTAGGTTTTGAAAGCTTGTTACCCTAACAGTTTTTCAAAGTTCACTTTCGTTGTTTGTAAAGTTTTATATAACGCTTAGAAGGGATATTTCTTGGAAAAGCTGGAGAAGCTTTGGAGGTTGCTCGAATGAAAAGTCTGTTTAGATGTGGGGTCTTTTCTCGCGACTTATCCCGGCTGTCGTCAAGTCGCGCGAAATTAAGTGCTCTGTGTGAACAGACTTTACATTACAATGACAAGAAACTGCC